CAAGAAACGTGAGTGGAAATGAGGGTGGTCAAGGTTGTCTTCTCACCGAAACCCAAAATGAAGTAGATGAAGACATAATGCACGAGGTTCGTGAAACTTCAAACACGTTCATTCACTGGACAAGGAATTGCTTCAAGTAAGTTTGGATTTAGACATGACAGATCGAGTTTTCTTTGTCATTCAACAGTTTTGTTAGAACTTAGAACCCCTCCAGTGACCCTGCAATTGGATTACAATGTAATCGATTTTTACTGTTATTCTCAGTCCTGATTCCTGATTGCAGGTTCTTTTCTTCTTTCTTGTTCTTTTGTGTAAATACAGATCAGATGGACTTTTGCATGAGCTCCAAATTAATATTGTCTTTCTCTGCTAAATGAAACCCCTTGTTTTGCTTATTCCATATCGCATTACTATAAGACTAATTTAGGTTTAGTTCGAATCACATCTGCAGAGTTTGATTTTTAGTCGGAAAAAGCTTCTTTTTTTTTTTTTTTTTTTTTTTTTTGCAATGTATTTGGAATAGCCTGATGTGTAAGAGATAGTAAAGCACATGCATGATTACACTTTTGTATGAAGTGGGAAATCTTTTTTTGGTTTTGGATTGTAAAGTATACCACAAAGGTATATGCACTGAAAGCTAGTGAGCTATCACATCAATATATCATGCATGCAGGTAGGGTCAAAATAAACATGTTGCTTTACTATGTGTTATTGACACATAACTAATTTTGGACTAAGGTCTACAATGCAAGGTGAGCTCTGATTCATTGTATAATTTGTCCAGACATTTGGGGTCCGTTTACTAACAGAAAACTGTTCTCTGTTTTCATTTTCTAATTTTTCAGTTTTCATTCTCTGTTTTCTGTTTAGAAAACTTGTTTATTAACATAAAACTGTTCTCTGTTTTCTGTTTTCTAATTTTTTAGTTTTCACCTAAAATTTAGTTTATTGAGTTCAATCAAAATCTAAAACATTATATAGAGTTTAATTCTTAATTTTGATAATGTAAATAATGTCTAACTTTAAAGTGTAAGCAAATAAATTATGTTTAAATAAGTAAGGTAAGTAGAAAAGATAGAAGATAGTGATAAGTAAAATAAGATGATAATGAATGTAATCATAGTAATGTGGTTATAGTGACATATAACTAAATAGATGATAGATGATTCTGTTTTCTATTTTGAAAACAGTTTTTAAGTGTGTTTCAGTTTTCCGGAAATTTTCAGAAATTATTTTCAATTTTGAAAATGGAAACTGTGTTAGTAAATATGTTTTCTGTTTTCTATTTTCCAGTTTCCGGAAATTTTCAGAAATTTCCAGTTAGTAAATGGCCCCTTGATATCTCTATCACTATAAAATTAATTCAACATTGACTTATATATGTTTTGTCTAAATTATTTAGTAAATTGGATTGTTTGGCCCAACAATCCAATCTTTTAAAGGAAGGGGCAAAATAATTCAACTCGAGACACATGTCACATCAAGGCATGCACAACATGCATATACCACCTCTTGTATGGTGTAGTTGATGATGAGAGCGATGTGTTAAGTTGAATAGTACGTCATGAACTTAGACACGAGTTCTTATCTTATTGATTTAAGTTACATGCACTAAAAAAATCTCGACACATAAATAAAGAGTCTCAAAGAGTGAACTACTAAACACATCCGAAATCCTAATAGACAACCTACCAAAACTTTACTGAACACATCCAAAATCTCAAAGAGTGGACTAATCTTCTTGAACATGTCAAGAAAAGATCATGTTAGGGCATCCCAATAGGGGGATTTTTCTTGATTTTTGCAAAAACTTTTGCCACATGGAGGAGAGAGAGAGTGGAGAGAGAAGGCTAGAACTCCTCCTGCAAAGATCCAAGATTTTGCAGAAAAGTGGGACCCACAGCAGAAATGGACTTTCACACTTGCCTCGCGTGAAAGCCAAAATTGCGCCTAGTGGGCGCGTAAACAACACCGTTTTCTTTTCTTTCGAAATCAGCTTTGGTTTTTTTTTTTTTCTTTTTTCATCTTCCCTCTTTTATTCTCTTTCCTAATCACACTTACGAAAACTTCTCAAAAACCACACAAAAAATCCACTACTGAGGATGCCCCCCAATACCCTTCTTTTTCATGTGATCCGCTTCTTAAGCTGTTATTTATTCTATAATATAAGTAAGAATTAAACATTAACCTCTGAAACGCAATATGATTAGTGATTGTATTAGTTTCATTATGCAGGATGGAGTATGAAAAAGTATTGTTTAATTATGATTATTTGGACAGATTTTTAATGATTTTATTACGATGAATTAACAACTTCTTTATCACATATAATTGCGTGCGCCATAATTAATTACTTTGACCGACATAAACTGATATGGCCTCTAGTTATGGAAATGTGGGCGACGGCCGGTCGGTGTAATGCGGCCAACTTTTGGGATAAACCTAACGCAGGTTTCACGTGCTACCAATTTTGCCTACTTTGAAGATGAGATAATATTGCTTTTATTTTTTTTTTTAATAATGAAAAAAATTCATAGTTACTATATGAATATATGTATATGGATTTAAAATTTATTATTATATAATAATTGTAAACAACATAATTACAGATAAGATGTAATCATATTTTACTCAATTAATTAGTTAATCTTTTCAAAAAAAATTTAAAAAAAATCATGAGTTGAAACTATAGCCATGGCTGCTTTCGTTTCAGAGAGACGGAAACAATCAATTGGGTTCCTTAGTTGAAAAAATTTCTAATATGTACATTATATTTATAGATAATTACTAATTCATTTATATTGCACCACTAATAATTAATTATAATATGTAAAAAAAAAAAAAAAAAAAACATAAGCCATTCCTATAAAACATAAAAGTTGATTAATAGCAACACCCTTATCAAAATATCTATCAAATCACAAAAAGTGCATTAATTATTGCATGCAAAGCAACACAATTACCTTTATTAATTGGTTGAAGTTAAAGTTGCTGGCTATGAGAAAATGACCAGCATACACCGATACACGTGAAGATGAGTCATTTAATGTACAGCTCCATGCATGCATGCATAGATAAAATAATAATAATAATAATAATAATAATAATAATAATAATAATAATAATAATAATAATAATAATAATAACTCAATCTTCGTCACCCGTTATCACAATGACACATGGCCTATTGGACAAAGTTTTAAGTTTAATTCCTTGAGAAAGATGTATATATTGGCTGAACAAGTCACTTTGATAATTTAGGTTGATTTACCTCCTTGTTATTCTTTTTTACTGACTAGGGTAATAAGGCGAGTTTCACTCAAAGTAAACATTCGAGTTGACAACAATATAACCGTCAAGTAAGAAATATTCTAATAATTTTTTTTCAAAAATAATTTTTTTTTCTAGGGATAAGATTTTAATTAACTTTAATAATTAAGCATATAGGTGGCTAAAAAGCAAGCACATACATGGAACTACATATATAGTAATTACTATGTGATAAATTTACTCTTAGAAAGTAAAACTTCTGTCATATATTCACAATTTATTGAGGGAAAGAAAAGAAAATGAACAAAAAGAGTAGTCTGTGAGTATATTTATTTTTTGAATCAATAAAGTATGTTACCGTAATATCATATCAAATTTAAAAATAAAAATAAAAAATGAGAATACATATAATATTATGTCTAATTGAGATATGCTTCAAAACTTGATTTAAAAAAAAAAAAAAAAAAAAAAAAAAAAAAAAAAAAAAAAAAAAAAAGGCAGGACCACAAGATTAGAACATGTGACCATTTAAAGGTAAAATGGGCAAACGACTGCAAGTCTGCAAACCAATATATAAGTAGGAGGAAAAATTCTTCACGTGCAGATAATGCTTATTCAAAATTGATTCATCATCAATTTTTATTAAAAATGTCAATTCTATGTACTTGGATTTGATGGATAATTGACAATTAAAAAAAATATAAATGTTTAACTTTTTATACTCTAATGTTAAAAGTTATCATTATTCATTAGTAATAAAAACATAACTTTTGTTATAGTTACTTGTATACGGGCATCGCCATTAAGGGGGTTGTGTACAAATTTTAAGAAAGATAATATGATTTGGAAGAAAGAAAGTGAAGAGAGAGAAAAGTTGAGTGTGACCTGCAAAGATGAGGATTTTGATAGTGAGTGACCGGGTCCCGCCAACAAAGAGGAGAATTGCGCCTCAGGACTCTCGCGCCTAAATATTTTTTTTTTGTTTTTTTTTTAATGTTCAAATTTTAGTTCTTTTTTTTTTTTTTTCTCTCTCATTTTCTCTTTCCTAATAACACCGGTAAAACCCTCTCAAAATCTTCATACTATTGATGATGCTCTAACTAGCAACATAACATGTATCAAGTTGTTCGGAATAATATGCGAATATGTCTTCATAGTATATGACACATAGGTGGTTGTATAGTCATAACCGGTGCAATCTGACACAGTACTAACTAGCATCTTAGAGTTTTCCAAACTAAAAATGAAACAGTTTATGAGAATCCCTATTTAAGTGAACATGTTTTTAGAGAACAAAACAAAGGTGTTGTTCGATCTTTTGGCAAACTTATATGATCCATCATATCGGGCGCATGCAAGTGGGGGTTGCCTTTGCTTGAAGTATTGTCGGTTCCACTTCACTATATTCTTGAAGAACACTATCCTCCCTCAACATTATTAGACCGAGGTAGGTTTCTGTCGTCTCTAACAATTAGTCTTTCTTTTGTCAAGGTAGTGCCCCTCGTATTCATAAATAAACAAATATGGTCTGAGCAGTTCACTTAATACTTACTTCCAGTCAGATTGGAGTACAGTTTAGGTTTGGAACGAATTTTTTATGTGTAGAAGTGTACAATTTTGATGTATTAAATTAAATTGGGCAATTCAATCATTTCTTGCAATGATGGGGTGAGAATAAGGTTTTGACTCAAAAAGTGAAACAAATTAACACAGCAAAAGGCTATAAATACCAGTCCCTGTAATCTCATACACTGCACCCAAAAGCTGAGAAGAAAAAATGGCAGAGATCTCAATAATCTCACCATTAATCCTCTTCACCACCTTCCTAGCATTCCCATTATTGCTCTTTCTCCTCACCATCAACTTGAAGAAAACTCTCAACAATCTCTTCCCTCCAAACTCCACCAAGATCCCCAGAGCCTACCCAATCATCGGCTCCTTCTTCTCCATCCTCGCCAACCAGCGCCGCCGCGTGCAGTGGATCGCGGAGGTGATAAACAGCACCGGAAACCTAACGTTCGTCCTCCACCGCCCTCTGGGCTACGTCCAAGTCTTCACCGCTAACCCTTCCAACGTGGAACACATGCTCAAAACCCACTTCCATGTCTACCAGAAAGGGGAGATCTCCAAGAGAGCCCTAGCGGATTTGATGGGTCAGGGGATTTTTAACACCGATGGGCCGACATGGAAGTTTCAGAGGCAATTGGCGAGCTACGAGTTTAATATGAGGTCTCTGCGTAAATTCGTGGAGATCGTCGTGGATACGGAGCTCACGGAACGCCTGGTTCCGATTCTCGCCGCCGCCGCCGCAGGCGGCGGCGGCGGCGGCGTTCTTGATCTTCAGGACATTCTTCAGAGGTTCGCGTTTGACAACATTTGTAAAATCGCGTTCGGGTATGACCCGGAATATCTGTTGCCGTGTCTCCCGGAGGCGAAATTCGCGGTGGCGTTTGAGGAATCTGTGCGGATTAGTAGCGAGAGGTTTAACTCTATTGTCCCGTTGTTTTGGAAAATTAAACGGATTTTGAACGTCGGGTCGGAGAAGAAGCTCCGGGAAGTCGTCGGCGAGGTCCGGGAATTCGCGAGAAAAATGATTAGAGAGAAGAAGGAGGAAATTGGGGAGAAACCCAAATCGTCGGTTGATTCTCTTGACTTATTGTCCCGGTTCTTGACTTCCGGCCACTCCGACGAGAATTTCATTACTGATATCGTGATAAGCTTTATTCTCGCCGGCCGGGACACCACCTCCGCCGCATTATCCTGGTTTTTCTGGCTAGCTTTCAAGCACCCGAGAGTGGAAGAGGAGATCGTGAGAGAAGTCTTCACGGCGGCGAAATGCGAAACGCCGGTGTACGATGAGGTGAAAGAGATGGTGTACACCCACGCGTCACTCTGCGAGACTATGCGGCTGTACCCGCCGGTGCCGGTGGACACAAAAGCGGCGACTCAGGACGACGTTTTGCCGGACGGGACTCCGGTGAAGAAGGGGACAAGGGTGAGCTACCACCCCTATGCAATGGGGAGGGTGGAGAAGGTTTGGGGGGCGGATTGGCGGCTGTTCCGCCCCGAGCGGTGGCTGGACCGGGACGCGGTGACCGGAAAATATACGTTCGTGGGTAAAGACCCGTTTACGTATCCGGTGTTTCAAGCCGGGCCGAGGGTTTGTTTGGGAAAAGAGATGGCTTTCTTGCAAATGAAGAGAGTGGTGGCGGGTGTTCTCAGGCGGTTCACGGTGGTTCCGGCGACGGGAGAGGCGTTTCAGCCGGTTTACACGGCGGACTTGACGTCCAAAATGATGGGTGGGTTTCCGGTTAGGATTGTGGAGAGGCCAGCTGCTGATGACACCACTTAATTACCACCATGATGTATTCTTAGCTTGGATTGTCGTTTCATTTGTTAAGTTTGATTATCATATATCTATCAATATCATATTGCATTGTAATATTTCTATCTTATTTTTCTTCCCTTAATTATGCATGCTTAATTAACTTAATTAATACTATATGACTCATTCATTATTGTTCCCAAATCGTTGAATCCCCAACTCCAAGGGCCCCACGACCCAACAGAACATTTGGGAGAATGTAAATATATTATGATAACTCAGCTGAACACAGAGGCTAGCTAGACCTTTGATTATTGCGCACAGGGAGCCCCTTCACTTTGAGAGGTTGCTCTGATCTCACACTATCGCTGGTGAGACTTGATCTCAGGTCTTTGTTCCAATTATTTAGCACCTCTATAATTACAAAACTCATTACCTAATTTAAATAAGGTATCATTTCATTAGTTCAGACGACTTATCCCTGACTCCTCATTCCGTCGCCTCCTCACTCGTTTCTTCTCATTTTATCGACTTCCCCATTGCATTAATTACCTACATATTCACTTCAATTATCACAGATTTTTTTGTTTTTATATTTTTAAAATTTTTATTCCGATTATAGGGTTATATATCACCAAACATTAATATTGGTAATCATTTTAATTTCATCGTACTACCAAATTAAACATGCAAAATACATACATTCACCAAATTCTATCTATCTATTCCAATTACTGAGTATTTAATTCTAATTCTGATTCTAATTTCCATGTTTAAGCTAAACACACCTTAAGGGGCCGTTTGGTTCACGGAATGTTAGATTACCTTAGGGAATGTAAGATTACCTTAGGGAATGTTAGATTGCTGGGAATGTTAGATTACTGGGAATGTTAGATTCCCGTGTTTGGTTAAAATTGAGGTATGTAATATTATCATGTTTGGTTTAGGGTTATCTTTATATATATATATATATATATATATATATATATATATATATATATATATATATATATATATATATATATATATATATATATATATATCTAATATCCTTAACATATTTTCATATATTTTAATAAATTTAATCATTAAATTAAATAAATAAGATAACGGTATCATATTAATAATAATAATAAGCTAACATAAAATATATATCTTTAAATAATTAGAATTAAAATGACAAAATTCATAAATATGCAAGGTTATCTTACATTACCTAACAAAATGAAGGGAATCACATTCCCTTCAAAATCCTATGTGGAGGGAATGTTACATTCCCTGGGAATGTTATATTCCCTCAGAGAAAATGAACCAAACATAGGAATGTAAGCTCGGGAATGTCACATTCCCTTGGTTATATAATATAACCTGAACCAAACGCCCCCTAAGGGTAATCTTAAATATGTTTTGGCTTGATGTTATTAACAAAACAAAACTAGGAAGAGACTAGAAACTTTAGTCGACAGTAGTGGAATGAATTGGGACCGCAGGTGCAAATATGTCATGTAAAGACGAGGTGTACTATAGATGATGAATTATTCTTAGCATGTATATATGTGGTCGATGAAAGTTAGGGACCAAAAGATTTGATATGTTGAGCATTCATGCATGCATGTTCTTCTTAGCCCTGTCCTAATGTGCTCTAGCTTTTTTGGTACCACATCGCTATCTGAATCCTAGTGAAATGTTGTAGTTCAAATCTTCACGTGATGACTCAAAATAATTCAATTGGAACATAACTAGCTAGAACATTTTATTAATTATACCACAATATATATTAATTTATTGACCAAAGTTTAAATTTTATATTGTATTTGTTTAATATATAACATATTCATAATATATGTTCATCAATGAGTAAGTTAACAGTAATAAATAGTTAACGGATCGGAATATTTCGTTATTAAAATTTACAGTTACGGAATTCTTTAATTTTGGCGAGTTTAATTATTTTCTTCATAAGTGTGGAACATATAAGTTGGTCATGGCGGCGTATGTGAACTTTATCCTGGGTGACAAAGATGACAATGTAAAAGAGCATCTGCAGCTCAGCTCGATGGATATATATTGCCAATGAATGATAGATGGAAAACATACACTCAGGTGGTGTGCAAGACTTTTCAACCAAAGTCAGTATTGACTACGCTTGATCAATTCTTCAATGATATTAAAGAATCGTTAAATTCATATAACGAATTCAGCTTCAATTTTGTGAAACAGTCTGCGAATCAATTAAGTTCTTTGTAGCATTGCTATGGAAGTTGTTTCTATGTTTGACCGTAAGAAATGGTATACCATTCCATCGATCTTATTTGTAATCGCTTCATCTTATGATTAAATGAATGAGTTTCTTTATTTAAAAAAAAAATAAAATTAGTCATACTATATATATAACATTCAAAGTTGAGCATCAAATATTACAAATAAGGAACCTTGAAAATCGTTTTCTAAGAACAAATCTAGGTTAAATTTGTTTTTCTTTTATTTTCGTTTAATTAATCTTCTATTGATTATTTAAAACATGACTATATTTTAATTATGCTTTTACATTATGAGGAATGATTTAGGTCATTATGGTATTAATAATTTTTGTATGTATTTTTATAATGGTAAAAATTTTACATTACTTTATAAATATTGTGCTATTATTTTTTTATCGGACAAAGTTGTTCTTACTTTATAATAGGTTCAGGTGCGGCGTCACCAATAATTAAGCAACTATATACCATCAACGTTAGAAAATGCATCACAAAAATACACACAAATTAGGTACGCATCACCAAAAACATACCATTAGGTGTGAGTAAACGCATCATACAGTGTTCGGATCGAAAATACACCATTAGCGGTGGTGAGTTATATGATGTATTTTTTGGGGTGTGTTGTGTATTTTTTGATGTTTTTTTTGCATTTCATTATGGTGTGTTTCCATTACACTGTTGGTGCCTTTCGTTAACACGATTGGTGTATTATGGAACCCCGTCGCACTTGAATTTTTCATATATATATATATATATATATATATATATATATATATATATATATATGAGTGGGTTAGTTATGGATGGAGTAAGCAAGGTTGGGTCGATTTCAATGACATGTAAAGTGTCGACCACCATTAAACTTTGGATTTGGTGTGGGACCCACGACCACGATTTCACATTTTCGGCTCCGTCAATGTGGTCGTACGACGGCCTCACCGACTAATAAACTAACATTCAAACCAAATTATCTTGTGATCTAGTGATACCATATTAGTTTTAATTGAGAAGTTATTAATTTAAGATTCAGTGAGAATAATATTGACTTTTTGTGATTTAATATTTTGAAAAAATAATTATGAACAGATATTATCTTGTAACAGAGTCGATAGTACCCAAAACAAAACACAAAAAATTGCAATAACTAATACTTCGCATAGTGGCAATTTGCATGCCCACCGCCGCTAAGCAAATTATAAATTTTCTTTGTCCAACCAAAAATTTGGCAACATGCATCTATTCAATATTTTCTTTATTATAGTTATTCCCTAGACATAAGGATGACAACGGACAAAATAAGATTTTTTTTATTCTCATTTCAGCGGTGAGTTTTTTAATTTCTATCTAAATTCTTTAAATTACTAAACTTAAATATTAGTCTAATAATTAAACCTTTACAGGGCGTTTGGTTGGAGGAATTTTAAATTCACTTCCCACTTAATTCCCACCTAATTCCAAATGCCATTAAATTCCATTGTTTGGTTGGAGGGAATTGCAATTCCATGGAATTGCAATTCCCCCATTTTCATGGAATTAAAATCTCATGTCCCCCCGTGATTTTAATTCCTAGGAAAAAAAGATAGTGATGATTCAAAATTACTCTTTCCTTTTTTAACCTAAAATTAATGTCTAACAACAATAATGGACATTTTTGACTTTATACTACTTATTCCCTTTCAATTCCCATGTATACCAAACATTGGAATTGAAATTCTCAGTAATTTTATTCTTGTCAACCAAACACTGGAATTTAAATTCCCACTTTATTCCCAGTAATTCAACTCCCATGGAATTACAATTCCTTTCCCACATAATTTCCCCCTTCTAACCAAACGCCGTGTTAATTCATCTTAATTTCATATATAGGGAAGAAATCATATGTGAATGAGCTTCCATGTAAAAAATGAGGTGAGATCTGAATCGTTGATCTAATCTAAATCAACCGCTCAGAATGAAAGAAAATTTTTTTAAAAAAAAAAAAATTGCTTCAAGCCGTTGTGTTTCAGACTTTCAGGAGGACTAACCTTATAGTTTATTCATTCATTATCACATCTTTTTGTTTGTAATTAAGGAAAATGGCAGGTAGCATGATGACTTCTCTTCCCCAGTTTAATGGCCTCAAAGCCATCATAACCCCATGCGAGGAGTTTGGTCAGTTCCCTTTCTTTTATACACTCTATATCTTTCAACCTTAATATATATTGTAAAACTTTAAAGTAGTGGTCTCTTTTTAATTTGTAAGATTATTGGTGTTGTTTAGCTCAAATTGTTGTAATTTGTTGCAGTGAAAAATATGCACTTAAAGAAAGAAAATTGTACACTCGAAGAAAGAAAATAATGTACCCAAAGACAAAGAGCATTTGAACTTAATTGCACAAAATTACTATAATGTCCCTGTATTTTTTTTTTTTTTTAAAAACTCTTCATTCTAGACTGTTGATTTGAACTAGATCAATGACTGAGATTTAATTTCATTTCTTATCTGAGAGCTCTTTCGCATTTGATGCATTATGTGTGTGTGTGTCTATATATATATGTGTGTGTGTGTGTGTTAGGGACAGGATAGGGGGAGTATCCTCATCCCGGTGGAGAATATATACAACTCCTTGTCTCTATCCTTGCCCCTATTGGAGTACTGGGGATCGGGATCCCCATGAAATCAAAGAGAGATTGTTATCCTGGTCTATCATTCATCAATTACTACATATTGAAAAGTTAATAAAGCTAAGAATATGTGGCGTTTATTACTCTAAATAAAATGAGACTTTGTCATTTTTTGCAAATACACATCTTTTCTATATATAAAAATACCAATGTCCCATCACTATCAAATTGACTTGAATTCAATCTAAATTGTGTCTATAGAGTTTACCTTAACTCAATAAAAAGTATGGTTATATTTTCGACAGTTTAGAATTTTGTTGAATTAGCTTTAGGAAAATATTGGGTTAGAACAATATGTGGGCAATGGTCTAGACTCTAGAGTGGAAATGTTGTTACCAAAGATTGGGTATACGATTAACTTTGGACCTTAACAAAAACAAAAGGCCTACTTGAAGCCTCTTAAGTCTCAACTGTTATATGGGCTCAGAGTATGAGCCAACCCACATCACTCCATTATCTTAATGGGCTTTCATAAATATGGGGGCAATTTATATCCTACGCCACAGCGCGCGTTGCACTGTGCGCCCAGATGCAAAATGACGTCGTTTTATTTTATTTTATTTTTTTTTTTGAAATTTCCCACCCCAGTGTACGGCAGTTATTTTTTCTTTAAAAAAAAATCCCTGTTCAAAAATGTACATAATGTTATACTAGAATACACATAATTGTATACATGAATGTACATAATTATATAACAAAATATACATACTCTTTTTAAAAGATAATACACATAATCTAACATAATACATAATAAACATAAACTTTTAACATAATACACATCAACTCTTAACATAATACACACAAATTTTCTTATTCGGATGTACATAATTGTATAAAAAGAATGTACATAATTGTATAAAAAATGTACATAACTGTATAAACAAATATACATAATTGTATGAACAAATATACATAATTGTGTGAACAAATATACATAATCACAGCAACTTCCTACCGCGCCTCCCAAAACGATGTCGTTTTGGGAGGCGCGCGGCGCACAGTGCTACGCGCGCCGTGGTATAGGGTATAACGATTGAAATATGGGTGCATAAGGAAAATTATTATTTAGACTCAGGTCCACTTTGCAATGTGGATCTGGGTCTAAAGATACGTATTAAATATTTACAATTTATCTTTTAAAAGTTCACAATTTATGATAATCATGTATTGTATTCACAAATTTCAAAACTTAGAAACACAATTTATATTCTAGAAGTTTATAATTCCAATACTAAAATACACAATTTAAGAACAAGGCCCTAGTCCATGGTATAATAGCCGGGTACATAATTTGCAAAATATAAGTAAATAAATTAAATGTACATTATTTTCAAAAAAAAAAAATTAAATGTACATTAAATACATATATAAATCAAGGTTCACAATGGAGATCTTGTATAGTCTACGATATAATTAATGATTGATTGATGGGATATGGCTTCAACCTAACGGATCAACATTCAACAATGAGGTTATTTTGTATACCAAAATGTATAAATATTAAGCACCCTCAATCTCTATTCAAATGTGTGCATATAAATCACAATAAAAAGACTCTTGTCAAGCAATAATAAAGTATGAGAATTATGTTTCATCCACTTGACTATCCTTTATGGTGATTTATAACATTATAATTGTTGAATGTTAAAACTCATAACAACTAAATTATACCATTTAATACTATGTACTTGGGTGTAAAGACAAAATCCATCATTCTAAGGACTCGACAACTGCCACAAGTAGGTATGACTATGGTTTGATTCTGATTCGAAATCGCTGATTCACGGTTCTAGAAAATGATAAATCAGAATATGAATCTTTTAGTAAGGTTCTGGTTCCAGTTCCGATTTAAACCACCGATTCGAACCTTTTTTTTTTTTTTTTTTTTTGTAAATTTTAAATTTTAAAACTTTTAAAATAGTTCAAATTCAATAATAATTATTATTATTTTGTCTTCGAAATCGGAATTGATCGATTTTGAATTAGAACCGACAGTTTCAGTTCTCGATTTTAATGAACCGAATCCTTTAGACAATTTCAATTACGATTCGATTGTTACCGTGTTTCAGTTCGATTCAAACTAAACCGGAATCATCCATATTCAAAGAAGGTGAAATTTTCACATTTGGTTCCGTCTTTGAGTGTAATTTATGACCTTAGTCAGCCATGTTGACATTTAATACATTGTACTCATGTAACACACAAGTGGCTGCTGAAATCATGTGTAAAACGCGCACTTACCTTCGACGACATTCATGGTACATTGTCCATATAAATGCACCATCCATCCTTGTCAACACATAACTACCTTCTTCCTAATTCACATGTATATCTTGTCGCACCATCTATTCTTTCTGTGATTCACTGAACCTTTCTCCACAAACAGCCTTCCCTATCCTTTTTCTTGGAACCCACTTCATTCTCGTCCATTGAATTAGGGTTTACTTGAGGAGAAGAGTTGAGAGAAAGAAACCCATTCGTCAAGAATCAAGCTTTTCTTCATTTCAGTTCAGGTTTAAGGTAAATCTGCTTCAACCCAGCTATTGAAGTGTTAAAGTCTGTGTTTTTATTCTTGTCTGTCTTTGAAAGGGCTGTTTTTGTGTATTGGGTCAAAGTTTTGCTTTTGTTGATAAGGTGTCCCATTGGGGATTTCAAGATTTTCTGGGAATTGTATAGATTTGATGGGATTCATTTGATTGGAAATTGGAAGTGAGAGGTTTGAGTAAGATGGGGAAGAAGAAATTTTGTCTGAATGAAGAGGATAGGGCTGTGATGGAAGGGGTTTTGGGAAGTGAAGCAGTGGAATTTTTCAGCTGGTTAGGTTTGAATAACATGAATTCAGAGTTCAGTGTTTCAGGTGGGAATTTGGGGGTGCAGGTGGGGCTGCAGAAGATAGTTGAAGGGTCTGATTGGACTTATGCCATTTACTGGCAAGTTGCAAAGTCAAAATCTGGGAAATCTGCCTTGATTTGGGGTGATGGGCATTGCCCAGAAGCCATTAGGAGGAAGAACAAAGACGAGAACGGGGGCGTTAATGGGAGCTCAGTCATCAATGGAGATAAGAGAAAGCAAGCTCTTGAAATGGTTCAGGCTTCCTTTGGGGGGTCTGAGGAGGATAGGTTTGAGGGGAAGTTGGATTCGGGTTCAGATGTCGAGATGTTCTATCTCACATCCATGCATTTCGTGTTCCCGTTTGATAAGCCTTCGAGCCCTTCTCAGTCGTTCAATTCCGGTAGAACGATATGGGTTTCGGATGCCAAGAATTGTTTAGAGCATTATCAGTCAAGATCCCATCTTGCAAAGATGGCCCGGTTCGAGACACTGGCGTTTATTCCACTTAAATCAGGGGTTGTGGAGCTCGGATCTCTGAAGTCGATTCCCGAACAACAGAACGTTGTTCAGATGGCGCAAAAGATGGCGGTGGTGGCGTCTAATGCCTCGCAGGCGAAAGCATTTCCAAAAATATTCGGGCGAGAACTTAGTCTCGAGTGTGCTAAGGCTGAAGAAGAGCCAGGCTATCCTTCTGATGCTTACGAGCTACAATCGTTAGGTAATAATCAAGTAACCGGTGGGGATTTAAGTTCACAAGCAGAAGACAACGCTTCACTTCAGCCCGACGAGAGAAAACCGAGAAAGAGAGGTAGAAAACCGGCCAACGGGAGAGAGGAGCCACTGAACCATGTGGAAGCCGAGAGGCAGAGGCGCGAGAAGCTTAACCAGCGGTTTTTTGCACTTAGAGCCGTTGTTCCAAATATCTCGAAGATGGATAAAGCATCTCTGCTTGGGGACGCAATTGCGTACATCACCGACCTCCAGGCAAGAATTAGGGCCATGGAAGCCGAGGAGGAGACGAAAGACGGTCCACAAAGGCAGAATGGTGTCCCGGATATTGATTTTTGTCAGAGACGCGATGATGCAGTGATAAGAATAGGCTGCTCTTTGGATGCTCATCCGGTTTCGAGAGTCGTAAAGGCATTTAGACAACATCAGGTAATGGCAGATGAATCTAGCGTTTCGGTGACTGAAAACGACGAGGTTGTTCACACTTTCTCTATCCGGGCTCAAGGTGCTGCTGTCGAACAGCTCAAGGAAAAGCTGGCCGCTTCTCTTTCCCTGTGATTCCACCGTGTTTGTAGTACAATAACTGATCGGCTCAAACCAAGAAGGTCAATAGGCAGCTCCGACCGAAAGTTGAACTTGTAACCTAGCTTGGTGGGGATTGCTCCCAAAATTTATTTTTTTTAAAAAAAATTGATTCTCTGTATTATAAAATGTTTGGTTAGAGCAACATAACATCTTTATGTTTAAGGTGTGCCATGGAAGATGAGAGTTGGAGATAACAGAGATGAGACAGATATATCTAAAGAGATAGAATTTATCTGCTTTCCCTTTTCCTATTCATATGAACTGTAGTACTGTACCAATGAAACATCATTTCTTGAAGCTCAATACTATCACCATGCTATGCACTATGGTATATTGGTATATACACATATAGTATCAGGAGCAACATAGTAAACAGGAATTACATATATGGTTCCAAGTATATATACATAATAACAATGATGAAAGCCACATAAGTCTACAGACGAACTGTGCAAAGAATGGCAGTGCTGAAATCCAATGGAAGATGAAAGGGGGACTTTGTAGTGAATGATCTCCATAGCTTCTTCTTCGGATGATATATTTGAGTCAATAGTGTTGCTGGCCTTTTATGCTGCTGCCTTGAACTCTGGCGCTGTGTCAAATTGGTTCCATTTAGAGCAGTCATCACATGCAATTCACCGTTCAATGCAACAAAACCGACTGACTTGTCATTAGAGGATTTCTTCGGTAAACTTGTTTCTTTCAACCAGCGGTTTGGAGTCCTATGATACCTGTAAAATATTCAAGAAGGTTTCATAATCAAGTTTCCATGTTTAGATGCTATTGGCTGGGAACTATTTCCAAATAGTACGTGCTGCTAATCATGAGCAAAAGATATACTTGAGGAGCGAAAAGCCATAAAGTGTTTGGACATAAACTCTTTGTTTCTTACATTTAATAAAGTTAACGCACCCGTAAAAAGAAAAAAAAAAACTTTTCAGTTATAATCAAATACACACTTTTGGTTAACAGTCCTTTGTGGAGAAATCACACTGTATGTACAGAAGAGTTGATTTATGCTTAAGATCAGTTCGTACATGAGTTCCAAAAGTTTACGGCTAATTAAAGTGCTAGGCACTAAAATAAAACACTTAAAAGACTGGTAAGAGATCATATTGAAACAAAACCTAGAAGTCTAGCCAAAGATAACCTGCAACTGCTACTTACTCAAATTTTCTTGTCATATATCTAAACCACCCAATAAGACCAAATCAAGCTAGAGACTTGGAGAAGTCCAAAAGTTAGGTTCAGGATCTTTTAATAATAAAGCCCAAACAATTTGGCAAAATCAAGAAAAACATGGCACAGTTTCCATATGCTGAATGCAGTGCTAACAGTAAATTTACACATATTCAATAGTAACTCTTCATGAAGGTAGTAACTAGTAATAGTCCAACTCATGTAAGAGAAATTTGATAGGTAAACTACAGAAGATGGCAATTTTACCTGAAAATAGTACTTTTCTCGAGCATATATATAGCAGGAGCATCCCACGCCTCATTCTCAAGAACAACAATCTTCCCAAGCCTTCCCCTCTCTCCTTCTTCCCACATATCCCCAATCTCCTTCCACTTTCCACCATTCTTCAATTCCATTACTACAGCATCCCTGTAGTATTGATCCACGGGAAGCACGTTTGAGATGGTTCTTGAATTGCCATATCCACCCATCACCCAGAACTCTCTATCTTCCCCATTGCCTACAAAGAATCCAACACACCCTGCTCGGAACCCTGGCAACCCATCCAATGCCACCCATTCATCCTTGCCAATATCATACATCTCCACAGAGCTCACATTACTCCCTGCAGCCCCAAACACAGTGTGCCGAGAACCACCCCCGGCAACCAGAATCTTATCAGAATTAGGGACTGCAGCACAAGCAAAGCTACCCCTGGGTGTGATCATGGGTGACAGAGACTCCCACGACAAAGTAGCAAAGTCAAACCTAAACGCAGAGGAGGATGGGCACGGGATGTCAAGTGGGAATGACCGGGTATCGAAAAGAGACCCACCGAGAATATACAAGTGAGGCCCAACAGCAATGGAGGTGAAATTGCAGAGACCATAGCCATGAGGATTACAGGGCATGGGAGGCAGTAAACACCAGGCAAGATTATGGGGATCAAAAAGACACGGAGATGTAATCGAAGGATCTTCCGGGAATATACAGAGCAGATGGGAGAGTCTAAGTGGCGGGAGAAGCTTATAGCGTAGAGAGATTAGGGATTTGGATGCGAAAAGTAGTCTCCACGATTTACATACGCATTTCAAGCGCGAGTGATGGGAGTAAGGAATGAATAACAAAATCAGAGCTGCTAAATCGTTAGGTAGACCCGGAATGAAGGTTAGGGTTAGGGTTCGTGTTCGAAGCCGCGGTTGCTGCCTAGAAACTGTCAAATAGGGCGGAGCCATATCTGAAACTCTGAAAGAATCGGAGTCAAAACTATACAATTTCGCTATACTTTTCGCAGTAAACCAAACGGAAATGAACTCTGGAATTCGAATTAAGAGATGATTCGCGAAAATTCTTCGTTATACACGCACATATACATACGAAACTTAAGCGCATATACATACAAACAAATCTTCCCCGGTTCTCCACTTCTCCCGATAGTGCCTCCAGTCTCCAGCTCCCTATCCCATGGCGGCGCTGTGAATTTGACTACTGTGTTAAACAGTAGCAATAGCTGAAAGAGATTCAGCTTTTTCGCCTTTCTTCCTTGCCAAGAATTTGACCTTTTTTTCCTGCAAATTTGTGAGAAGGAAAATGAAGCAAACGCCTTTTCTGGGCCCTTTTGTTTTTCGTTTTCTTTTTTTAAGCTTAAGGGGCGTTTGGTCAAAGATTTTTTGTTGAGTTAATTACCAAAATGGTCCCTTGACTATAACGAAATTACCAATTTGGTCCTTAACTATTTTTTTAACCAATTAAGTCCCTCAACTTTAAAAACTTTAATCAATTTGGTCCTCCATTTGTTTGACCGTTAGTCAACCGTTAACTTGGGACCAAATTGGTAATTTCGCTATAGTTAAGGGACCATTTTGGTAATTAACTTTAGGGGTGGGCAATTCGATTTAGTTTTCTCGAATTGAACCGTACCGAACCGAACCGAACTAGTTTGGTTCGGTAATATACTGAACAACCGAACGGTATTGGATTCTTGTATACCGAACGGTTCGATAAAAAAACTGATCCGAACCGATCCGAATTGTTCGATAAAAAATTGAACTGAACCGAATACCGTTTGATTTTTTTTTATATAAATATAATAATAATAATAAATAAATAAATAAATAAATAAATAAAAAGTAAATCCAAGTCCCTTGCTACTTGCTCTACCGTTCGGTTCAAGTTTTTACCGAACCGTTCGGTATACAAGAATCTATTACCGTTCAGTTTTTCGGTATATTACCGAATCTAACTAGTTTAGTACGGTTTGGTTCGAGAAAACTTAACCGAATTGCCCACCCTCAAAGTTAATTACCAAAATGGTCCCTTGACTATAGCAAATTACCAATTTGGTCCCAAGTTAACGGTTGACTAACGGTCAAACAAACGGAGGACCAAATTGGTTAAGATTTTTTAAGTTGAGGGACTTAATTGGTCCAAAAAAATAGTCAATGACCAAATTGGTAATTTCGCTATAGTCAAGGGACCATTTCGATAATTAACTCTTTTTTGTTGGGATAACGGGAGAAACTGAAACCATTACATAAAAGTTATTGCCATGGGCTCTGATAATACTTGTTAAGATCAAATGCATTTCACTTACGTCAAAAGTTATAGATAGTAACGAAGACGTAATTTTATTTCTTTATAGACCGCTATCACATTGTTCGAGACATTAGATGCTGGACTCTTTATCGGCTTTCGCTTAACAATCTCTCAGTCACGTGATGTTAGACTTGGTCTTATCGATCTTCGCCTAATAATAATTATGCTTAATCAACTTGATTATTCTTTTCCAATTTTTTTCTTTTACTAGCCACTTTGTAATAACTAAAAAACGTTAACATCAAAATAATATTAATATTTGATATATCAATAATTCAACAAATGAATATCTTATGGATAATCAATGAGTTATTACCCAAAATCGTCCAACTATAGTGGTTTTTCTCAATTTCGTCCTAAACGACTTTGGTAACCTAATATCGTCCCAGACTTTTGTGTTTCGCTCAATTTAGTCCTCCATTTGTTATTCCGTCAAATTGGTATTAAATAAATGGACAATTCAGTAATGTCAATATTGATCTCTCTTTACTTTCAACTTGTGAAGTGTGAAATTCCTTTTTCTTGTACGAATTACACCCAGAATTACTCCCGGACCTGCAAATCAAATTTTATATTCGCAGTTTTAGGAGTGATTCATAAAAAAAAAAAAAAAAGGATTTCGCAGTTCACATGTCTATGAGTAAAGAGATGTCAATATTAAAATTACTGAATTGTCTATTTATTTAACACCAAATAGACAGAATAACAAATGATGGACTAAATTGAGCAAAAACACAAAATTCTGGGACTAAATTGAGCGAAATACAAAAGTTTGAGACGATATTAGGTCACCAAAGTCATTTAAGACGAAGTTGAGAGAAACCACTATAGTCGATGACGATTTTGGGTATTAACTCGATAATCAATTAATAAAGTTGTGATATATCTTATTATAGAAATGTAAATGTTGGATTCTAAATTCGAGGTGTTGATGATTTTATTAGAGAATCTAGAGGGCTTGATGAGTAATGAAATGATAAAAGCCCCTATGCAATAAAAAGTGTAAGTATATTCAAATGTATAGAGAATTTGAGTTAATTTCATTTTTGGTCTTATAACTATTATGGTGTTATATACCAAAAAAATTATGGTGTTATTAATTTTAGTCCATAAGTTTTAAAATTGTCAATTTAATATCACAATTATTCAATTTTTTTCAATTTCAGTCCATTTGACTAAATTATCAGTGAAAAGTGACGAAAAAATTTTAATGGATAAAATCTTGATGGCAATTTAGTCATTTGCTCTTCCTTTTTTCTTCTTCTCCATTTCTTCTCTTCTACGCTGAAAATTTTTCTCCTCTCATCTTTCTTCTCAAAGCCGAGTCCTTGTAACTCCATGATCTCCGCCGAAAATGGGATGGAGTCCACCTCCTGACACAGTAGGCTTTGTAGGATCACGGCAGATCAAATTCTCCAACACCATGAATATCCGCTTGATGGCTTCGCTCAGACTCTTTCAGATCGTCACGACCTTGTTTCTCAAGAACACACAGTACTGATCAGAGAATAGCAGTTCAAACTCCGACATAAAATCTCTAAGAGTTTCGTAAACGTCGAGCACATTGAACAGTCTCTCTAGAGCTTAGCTATTGATTGCGACGATGTCGGCAAAGTTGAGCAACTGAATGGTGGAGCCTCGGCAGACCTCCATGAAAGAGAGGTATGCGGCGGAAGAGAAACCAAAGAAAACAAGATCGTAGGGGCAACGCTTGCCAGGAGAACATATGATATCGTAGTCGGCGATGGGATGCGCCACCCGAATCTTGCGATCGTTTTCCTCCTCCTCCAAGTCGGATGAGAAATCCCAGTTTCAGCATTCTTCCAAAATAAATGTGTACGTTTCTGTTTAGCTTGAAAGCGACGGCGGTTAGCGGGTTGTCGCCCAAGTTAATGGTGAGGCCCTGAGACAAGAAGGTTCTGCTCAGAGAAGATGATAAAAAAATTTCCAGCGTAGAAGAAAAGAAGAAAAGAGGAGGAGCAAATGACTAAATTACCCTCAAGATTTTATCCATTAAATATTTCCCGTCACTTTTCGCTGGCAATTTGGCGGGATAGACTGAAATTGAAAAAAATTGAATAGTTACGATACTAAATTAACAGTTTGAATCTCGTGGATTGAAATTAACAACATCCTAATAATTATATGACCAAAAGTGAAATTAACTCAGAGAATTTGATATAATTACATGTTTAAAGATTGTGAAATCTATATATTGTTATTGTCATAGTTTATGAAGAATTAATTTTGTTTGACCTATGAGTAACAAACATAACATGGTTAAAAAAAAAAACATAGCATGTAATTTTAACATTATATTTATATGAATTATATGGAAAAGCACAAAAAAGGAAGAATAAAGAAATAATTTCACAATAACGAACAGGAATAACTAACGTCTATCGAATTCACTCCCTCCCCCGCCAAAAACGTCTGCTATGGACACATATGCAGAGAGGAGAGAAGAGAGTGACCACAAGAATGCAGCGAAGAGTTCAAAGACTCCTATTTCCCAGCGTCTTCTTCTCTCTGTTCGAAGAATCTTTCTTTCTCCATCCCGCTCTCCCATCCATTCCATCGCATGCAGATCATCGTGTTCTTCGCCAATCCATCATCGATTCTTTCTCCCGCTCAGCTCGTCGCCCCTACAACCCCAAATTTCCAACTCGGTTCATTCCAGGATGTGGGACGTCGTACCGGCAAGCCGGTAAACGGATCGGAGAGAGAGAGAGAGAGAGAGGAAAAAAAAAAAAGAGAAAAAGAAGAAGCTCGGTCTAGCTGAGGGTTTCTAGTGACATTCTCGAAATGGTATGATTTTTCTCGATTCTCTTCTTTCTAGCAACAATTTCGTTTTCAAAAATTCTCAGTTGCTTTGCTATCGTTGGGAAATTTGTTTGGCGAATCAGTAAATTGCGGTATTTTGAGTCACGAGGGAATATAAATATATAATACATTTGCCGGAATAGCGATCTTTGCTAGGAGACAATGATGATTTGCCGGAATTGGGAGAAAGGGCTTTTGAAATCATAGAGGGAATTTGGAAACGATATAAATTATAAGGAATTTCACATAACCAAATCGATATGTGAAGGTCTAGCTACTAAGGAGCAAATCAATTTGTATATGAAAGCTTGGATAATTAAAGATGCATTCTATGTTCCTATTAGAAAAAGAAGAAGATATTTCCATATTCTGACTAACCTCAAACTTAATGCAGGGCACCCCAGTAAATATTATAGTAGGTTCTCAGGTTTGGGTTGAGGACACAATAGACGCTTGGATTGATGGACGTGTTACAAAGATCAATGGACAAGAAGTTAGTATTGATACAACTGATGGGAGACAGGTATTTTGAGTTTCTCCATTTAATTATGTACTCATGCACTTTGAATATCCCAAGAAGTCTTAAAGATTCCACTCGTCCTCCCTAAAAAAGATAAGCCATGACTAACCGGCCTAAACAAAACATTGGAACGCTCTCTGATTAAAAATTCACTTATACGTCAAAGGGGAGGCTTCAAATGCATGCAAAAAACTATCTGCATTTTTGTTGATTTTATATTGTTGAGTCTGAAGAATCTCAATTACAATATTCCTCTGTCAATTCATTTTGGTATATGTTATGATCTGGATTAGTATGGCCTTGCATAGTTTAGTAGTGTAATGAAGTTTTTGCTTCCTAGCTCAGTCCAGAGAAATTTGAGAAACTGAATTTGGGAAAAATACCATGTTCCCATATGGTTAGCCCATGTTGCAAATGAATCCTTAGGTCCAATTTATTATTTTGACGACATTGAGATTGCCACACCAACGCGGGACTTGAGCTAGGGTGTGACAGTCTCATCGTGCATATTATCTTGCATTTCACTAGGAGCATTGAACTTAACAGTTGAATTTCTCTAGCAGAATTATTACTTGGCTAGCATCTGCTTGCTCATCTGTATGCTTCCAATTCATTTAGGTTGTTTCAAATTTATCAAAAGTTTATCCTAAAGATGAGGATGCTCCTGCT